ACTGCGGGAGGAGAGGAGACTGCACCAACTGCTGGGGCCCTGGATGCAGTCAAGAAGGTGCAGCAGCCACAGCAATCACATGGTGAGGTGCTTGCTGGTGTGGATGCAACGGCTGCATGGGCAAAGGCTTCTTCTGGGAGTGGTGAGGCCGATTGGGAGACGTGGCACGAGAGGTTGTGCCACATCAACATTCCGATGCTGCAGAAATTGGTGAAGGATGGGAACCTGAAGGGATTGGAGGTGAAGGGGGCAGCAAGGGAGATTGGGAGCTGCCCTACATGCCTTGAGACCAAGTTCACGAAGTTTCCCTTCAGCAGCAGCACGGGACCAGCGAAGGCTCCACTTGCACTTGTGCACATGGACGTGGTGGGCCCCACGAGGGCCCCTTCTCTCTCGGGCAGCCGCTATTTCCTGACCATTGTGGATGACCACACACGTGCGGTGTGGGTCTACCCTCTCAAGACTAAGGGGGAGGTGGCAGCGGCTGTTCTCAAGGAGTGGATGCCGAGAGCACAAAGGGAGAGCGGACACAAAGTAAAGGTGATCCGCACCGACAATGGGGGAGAGTTCATTGGCGCTGTTTTTGAGGCGGTGCTGAAGAAGAAGGGGATCCAGCATCAGCTCACGGTGCCCTACAACCCTCAGCAGAACGGCGTGGCTGAGCGGTTCAACCGGACCCTGCAGGAAGGTGCTCGCACTCTCCTTGGGCGTGCAGGGCTGCCGGATCCGTTTTGGGTGACTGCACTACGGCAGGTCGTTGTGGTGAAGAACAGGGTGCTCGCAACTGTGGGGGACAAGCAGTGGGTGCCTTACACCAAGTGGTATGGGAGTGCACCAGCAGTCAACATGCTGAGAGCCTACGGCTGCATGGTGGTGTTTCATGTGCCGAAGGAGAAGAGGGGAAAGTTGGAAGCTTCTGGAAGATGGGGTGTGCACTTGGGACTTGCGAAGGACCACAAGGGCTGGCTCATATGGGACTTGACCAGCCAGCAGCTGACTGTGTCAAGGGACGTGAAGTTCCTGGAGTCCTTGTACTACAAGGAGTGGAAGCAGCAGCAGCAGAAGCTTCCTACGACACCGCTGATCGTTGAGGCCGATGAGATGCAGCGGCCTTCGAGGCAAGTGGAGGTTGCCATCTCAGAGGAGGAGATCTCTGGGGTGACTGAGGATGGGGGAGAACCTGAGGTGGTGGAGCAGCAGCAGCAGCAGCAGCAGCAGCCGCAGCAGCAGCAGCAAGATGCTCCACGAGGTGCCGCACGTACGGCTGACCGTCCTAAGAGGGATGTGCGCCCTCCTAACCGGCTGACCTATCCGAGCTTTGGGAAGCCGAAGGTGGTACGGGCTGGGAGTGTGGCTGAGCAGTGTGATGAGGAGGAGATAGCGCACTGCTACTGGGCAGCCGTCCCTGAGCCCAAGACGCTTACCGAGGCCTTGAGTGGGCCCGATGCTGAGAAGTGGAAGCAGAGTGTGAAGGAGGAGTACGACTCACTGCTGGAGAATGAGACGTGGGAGCTGTGTGAGCTGCCTCCTGGGAAGAAGGCAATCTCTTCGAAGCTGATCTTCAGGCACAAGTATGGACCTGATGGGGAGCTGACGCGCTACAAGTCAAGGCTTGTCGCTAAGGGGTTCCAGCAGATGAAGGGGAAGGATTTTGATGAGCTCTATGCTCCTGTGGGAAAAGGCACAACACTGAGAGTGTCTTTGGCGATGGCCGCATACCGTGGATGGCGGGTAAAGCAGCTAGACATTACCACCGCCTTCCTCAATGGAGTCATTCTGGAGGAGCTGTACATGCTGCAGCCTGAGGGGTTGGATGATGGGAGCGGCAGGGTGTGCAGGCTGAAGAAGGCCATCTATGGCCTGAAGCAGGCTCCTCGTGCATGGTACCGCGAACTGGAGGAGACACTGCTGGCCAGTGGGTTCAAGAAGAGCGAGTGTGATCACAGCCTGTTCCTGCTGCAAGAGAAGGAGCACTTCCTCATGCTCCTGGTGTACGTGGACGACATCCTGCTCTTCTCTGAGTCGTCTGCAATGATTGAACGTGTGGAGGAGATGCTGGAAATGCAGTTCAAGTGCTCCAAGATGGGAGATGTGAAGTACTACCTTGGGATGCATGTGGAGAGGGACCTTGACAAGGGAGTGTTGAGGTTGCACCAGAGAAAGTATTGTGAGGGGCTGGCTGAGAAGTATGGGCTGCAAGATGGAGGAAAGCAGGCCACCCCACTGCCTTCGGGGTTCACTGTGGAGCCCTGTGCTGATGAGGAGGTGGTGGGTGAGAGTGGCACGAAACTTTTTCATTCCATGGTTGGGGCACTCAACTATGCGGCTAACCACACACGGCCTGACATTGCCTTTGCAACATCTAGGCTTGCCAGTGTGGTTTCACGCCCCAGTCATGAGCAGCTGGAAGCGGCCAAGAGGTTGGTCCGCTATGTGAGTGCAACGGCATCAGTGGGTTTGGAGTACAGTGCTGTGAGGCAGAGGCTGCAGAGGGGTGCAGCTAATTTGAGCAAGGGGGAGATGCTCCTGACCTGCTACACTGACGCTAGCTTCAACTCGGTGAAAGCGGATGGCACCAGCATTGGAGGCTATGTGTGCCTCTTTGGAGGTGGTGCAGTGAGCTGGCGCAGCAAGAAGCAGAACGAGGTGGGGCTGTCCTCGTGTGAGACAGAGTACATGGCCCTTCATCATGGGGCAAAGGAGGTGGTGTGGCTGAGGCGTTTGCTAGAGGAGATTTGGGTTGGTCAAAGGGAGCCGACTGTGATTTTCTGTGACAATGAGTCGGCGGTGAAGCTTGCGAAGAATGACTGTCTTCATGGCTTGACAAAGCACATCAGGCCAAAGTGGCATTGGACAAGGAGGCTCCTGGACAAGGAGGTGCGGCTGGAGATTGTGAAGACCCAGCAGCAGGTAGCTGACATTCTCACCAAACGCCTGGCAGAACCTGAGCATTGGAAGGGCATGAAGCTTGCTGGGATGAGTGTGCATTGAGGGTGCATGCTTGAGCTATGGCATGTGGGATGATGGTTGGCAGCCAGAGGGGGAGTTTGTTATGTGATGCTATCATTTGCATTCACGTCTGTCTGCCTCCCATCATGTGTTCGTGCGTTGCATGTGTGAAATGAGCGTGCGCAAGAATTTGTGTTTTGTGCGGTTTGGTTTTTCTGGAAGAGTGTGTGTGAATGTTATTTGGCTTGAGCAGATATCTGAAGTGACTCCACTGCTCAAGATCTTTCCGACGAGCCAAGAATCGTCGCGATCGGAGCAATATCAAGAAAGTTACGAACGTTGGAGTTCGTATGCTTTTGATATTTGGTTGTGGTGACTATGGGGAGTTGTGGGGTTGACTCAATATGGGGTACAGACTTTTGGGGGTTGGGAATTCGAACCCATCACTGTAGAATGCTGCCATGTGGTTGGGTGAAGCCAAACCAGGTTGGCAAGTGTGGCCAAGTGGGTTGAGGTGGATGGCATGAGTTGGGAAAGTGACAAATGTGAAAGTGGGGTTGCCTATGGGGAAGGGAATTGTGTGGCATGGGGTTTCCTTGGTTGGGGAATCTCTTGGGACCTTCCCTCTCGTCCTCCTCTTCCCTCCTACCTGGTTTAGTGCTACCCCAACTCTCTTGTGTGTAACTTTGTGGAACTTGTGAGAACAATTGTGATTGAGTTAAGCATGTGGCAGCATACCCCCTAGTGCGCCAAAATTGATAACTCGAGAAATACTCCACCTTATCACACAATTCAACTTGGGAATTCTAGCCATGGACTAGAGCTACAACCTATCTGAAATTCGTGAAGTTTTGACAGTGCGCTTTTCGTCGACGGCGTTTCTTGTGAACTCGACGATTCTGTCCAGAATTTCAAGCCAACGATTTTGAGAAATTTAGGCTCCTAATCTTCATTGACTCCGTCCTTAGTTTCTAACAGTCGGTCAGCAGATAGGTGAGCCAGCGTAACTCCTGTGCAGCCATGGCTGTGGCGTAGATCTCAGCCTCACAACTGGAGCTGAGAACTGAAGACGAGCAAGTAGAACGCCAAGAAACTGAACCAGAGCCAAGGCTGAAGGTGTAACCCTGTGGCGACCACTGAGTTGCCTGGTCGTCAACCCAAGAAGCGTCTAAGTGCCCAGTGAGAACAATTGAGCTCCTCCCTCCAAGCACTAGCCCCATGCCTGATGTACTACACAGCTAGCGCAGTACCCTCTTAGCAGCAGCCTTGTGCTCAGGTCGGTGCCGACAAGGAGCCACGTAGCGAGCTAGAAGACCAAGAGGGTACGCGAGGTCAGGACGAGTGAAAGTCATCACGTACATGAGGCAGCCAACTAGCTCTGGGTAAGTACCACTCAACTCTACGGACTCGTCCGAAAGTGGAGCTAAGAGCGAGTGACCTGTAGCCAGAGGAGTGTGCTATGGCAAGGTTCAGGTGAAGCGGAAGCGCTGAAGGACCTGCTGCACCATGTGTGACTGAGTCAGTGTGATGGTGCGGCGTGCTCTATCCCGGGTGATCTGCAAGCAAAGGTAGCTGTGCAGTTCACCCAGGTCTGTGCACGTGTGTCTCTTCTGCAGCTCCGACTTCACGTGGGCGAGAGCCTCAGTGTCAGCTGTGGCAAAGACCAAGTCGTCGATGTACACGAGGATGTAGAACTACGGCAGGGATTGAGAAGAAGCAAACGAGAATGAATGAACTATGAATGAAGTGAGTACAAATATGAAACCCTAATTGGGTTGTACCCCCTATGGGATACCCCACTATAGCCTACACAAATAAGTAAGCTATAATGTTCTGACACACCCCCATAGGCAAAGTGGGGGAGAACAAGGGGTCACAAGACCAGTCAAGCAAAGCAAAGCAAAGCTCAGGGTGGATCACAAAGTCACCACACAATCCGAGCGCAAGGTCAAGGGCCACAAGGCCAGTTCGCATGCAAGATCATATATAGAGATATACAAGAGTCAGGCAAGCAAGAGCAAGAGTATATATAGGTCAAGGTACAAGCAAGGTCAAGAAGTGAGCAAGTGAGGCAAGACAGGCACAAGACCCAGCTGCGTGCAGAAGCGCTGATGATCACAAGGCGCAAGTGCCTCGGTGAAGATATCAGCAGTGTTGGCCTCAGAGGCCACGTACGCAAGTCGCAACTGTCCACGCTGCTGCAGCTCACGAGCAAGAAAGTAGCGGAGAGCATTGTGCTTTGTCCTGTGCTCCAGTCGCTGCTCTCGACACAAGGCCAGCATGGCCTTGTTGTCTACGTACAGGACTGGAGGAGAACTAGGCGGCTCTCCAAGGTCGGTCAGCAGGTAGGTGAGCCAGCGAAGCTCCTGAGCAGCCATAGCCCCGGCGTAGATCTCAGCCTCACAACTGGAGCCGAGAACAGAAGACGAGCGAGTAGCCCGCCACGAAACAGAGCCGGAACCAAGGCCGAAGGTGTAACCCTGTGACGACCGCTGCGTAGCCTGGTCGTCAGCCCAAGAAGCGTCCGCGTGCCCAGTGAGGACCACTGGACTGCGCCCTCCAAGCACTAGCCCCATGCCCGACGTACTGCACAAGTAGCGCAACACCCTCTTCGCTGCAGCCATGTGCTCTGGTCGGTGTCTCCCAGGAGCAACATAGCGTGCGAGAATGCTGAGAGGGTATGCAAGGTCAGGTCGTGTGCAGGTCATCAGGTACATGAGGCAGCCAACAAGCTCTGCATACGGGCCACTCGACTCTACGGACTCATCTGAAGGCAGAGCTGAGAGCGAGTGGCGAGTAGGCAGAGGAGTGGCCTGAGGCGAGGAGTACGTGAAGCCGAAGCGCTGAAGGACCTGCTGCACCATGTGTGACTGAGTCAGAGTAATGGTGCGGCGTGATCTGTCCCGGGTGATCTGCAAGCCAAGGTAGCTGCGCAGTTCACCCAGGTCAGTGCACGTGTGTCTCTTCTGCAGCTCGGACTTCACGTAAGCGAGTCCAGCAGTGTCCGCTGTGGCAAAGACCAAGTCGTCGACGTACACGAGGATGTAGAACGGCGGCAGAGATGTGTCGGTGCGCAGAAACAGCGACGGGTCGGCAGTAGAAGGAGCAAACCCAAGTGCCGCAAGCGTAGTCCTCAGTGTGTCGTGCCACTCACGTGGCGCCTGGCGGAGACCGTAGACTGGACGCCGGAGACTCCACTGGGTACCAGGAGGGAAAGACCCAGTGAAGCCAGGTGGGCGACGCAGCCAGATCTCCTCGTGCAGGCTGCCCTGCAAGAAAGCTGTGCTGAAGTCGAGAGAGTGCAACTCGTAGTCACGGTGAGCAGCAACGTGCAGCAGTACCCGAAGAGTGGTCATCTTCGGGGTGGGGGAGAAGGTCTGAAAGTAGTCAACCCCCTGCCGCTGACTGAAGCCACGAGCCACGTAACGCGCCTTGAAGACAGGCGGAGAACCCGGCGGCCGCTTCACCCTGAAAATCCACATGCCACTGACGATATTCGCCCCAGGAGGGGGAACAGCGTCGACGTAGGTGCCTGTGGACTTCCAGGAAGCCATCTCTGCATCCATAGCTGCCTGCCACTGAGAGGAGTAGGGACCCTCTATCGCCTCCCCGTAAGAGCGCGGAGTCGGGATGTCTAGTGCATCCGAGTCTCCCTCAGGGGCTAGCAGTACAGACGCAAGATGAGGTGAAGCGGCGGCCAGACACTGGAACTCCTCCTGCCTGTCCTCAAGGACGTCCGTGCCAAGGGCACACTCACCCCCGACGGACGGAGGACAGGCAGACTCAGACTCAGCGACAAGACTAGCAGCGTAGTCTAGACAACAGCGCGCAGCAAAGTCGACGAGCTCAGTGACAAGGGCAGACGCAGCAGAAGACTCGAAAGAAGGGTCAGTGACAGCAGTAGCAAGAAGACGCGTGACAGTAGGACTGGCAGCACGAAGAGAGTCCGACTCCGGGTCGGCAAGAGCAGGAAGAGAGGAAAAAGGAGGAGAAGGCAAAGGGGCACGCAGAGGAGCAGTAGACGGACGTAGAGACATCCGGTGCGTGCCAGGGACAGGAGGAGGACGCTGACGCGAACCACGACCACTAGTGCGCGCAGTACGAACAGGCGACGCAGGACGAGACGCAGGCTCACGACGCTCAGTAAGATCTCCAGTCGGACCAGCGTAGGGAGAAGGAGCAGGCAAATGTGAGGTAGGCTGTAGCTGTGACTGTGACGAGACAGGCTGTGGACCCTCTAAGGGAGGAGGAGGAGGACCAAGAGAAGGTGTAAGACCAAGAACCTGCTGCAGGAGCGGAACGAAGTACGGCCGGGGCCGCGCGGCGACGCCAGAAACAGCAGGGAGAGCACCAGTACCCCCAGAAGGAGTACCCGCTCCAGCAGCACCTCCAGTAGCTCCTGAACCTCCAGCAGCACCACCAGGAGCACCACCAATCGGACCTCCAGCGACAGTCTCAGCGTCAACACCCTCAGCAGCACCAGCTCCAGGAGAACCCTCAGACCCAGCAGCTCCAGCACCCACAGTACGAGCACCGCCGGGACGCTCGGCAGCAGTACCCTCTGCAGTCGAAGAACCTCCAGCACCAGCAGCACGCCTCCAGCGCCTGGCAAACCACTCACGTAGCTCCTGAGGGGAGAGTGGCTCTCGGCGAGACGTAGCACCTCCAGGCGGAGCACCCCCAGTCTCAGCACCTCCAGGCTCAGCACCCCAAGGCTCAGTACCTCCAGGCTCAGTACCCCCAGGCACAGCACCCCCAGGCTCAGCACCTCCAGGCTCAGCACCCCCAGGCTCAGCACCTCCAGACTCCGCACCCCCAGGCTCAGTACCCGCAGGTGTAGCACCTCCAGTCTCAGCACCCCCTGGCTCAGCTCCCGCAGCAGCACCAGAGTCACCAGTGACCTCGACAGGCTCGACCGCGTCTACCTGGGACACACCTGAAGGGGCAGGACATTGAGGGGGGAGGGGGTCTACCGGGGGGGGACCTGGTACCAAGAAGAGCGGGGGCGGGGGGTGGGACGGAGTGCGGTAGGGGAAGAGGCGGTAGTAGGGTACCGACTCGTCGAACGTGACGTCCCGGGAGGACAGAACACGTCGAGAGGTGGGGTGGTAGAACTGCCACCCAGGGGCGTCGGGGGGGAACCCCAGGAAGACGCAGGGAGTAGCGCGAGGGGACAGCTTGTCCGCAGACAAGTCGCGGACAAACGCCCGAGATCCCCAAACCCGGAACGCAGACGCATCGCCAACCTTCCCCGTCCACAGAAGGGCTGGGGAGGTCTCCGGCATGGAGACCCTGGGGTGGAGGTTGATCTGATGCGCCGCGTACCTGACCGCAAACGGCCACAGAAAATGGGGGGCAGCCGCATGCATCATAGACGTACGAGCGACGTCCATGACCATGCCAATGCGGCGCTCTGCAATCCCATTTTGCTGCGGTGAGTCCGGAAGCGTGAAGGTCTGGCGGATGCCAAGCACACGACAGAAGGCACGCAAAAGGCCAGAGGAGAACTCTCCGCCTCTGTCCGAGTGCAGACGCAACACAAGAAAGTCCGAGCCAAAGCTCTGCCTGAGCTGGAGACGAGCTGCGCGGATCCAGTCGATCAGCACCTCAGTGACATCACCCTTGCTGCGCAAGGGGAAGACTGTGGTGTAACGCGAGAAGTCGTCAACCAACAACAGGAAGTAGCACTCATGACCGAGTCCACGGACGCGGGCAGGGCCCCACACGTCCATGTGAAGCGTCTGCAACGGAGCCTCTGTCGGAGGAAACTGGGAGGAGTGAGGGGCAGCACGCTGGCGCCCCTCGACGCAGGGGACTTAGGCAGGGCCAGGGCCCTGAGGAAGGGGAGGGAGGGACTGGGGGAGACCAGACACAAGAAGACGGGAGGCCATGCCTCTGAGCCGAAGCAGAGAGGGGTGGCCAAGGCGGTGGTGCCAGAGGAGAGTCTCGTGAGACAGACGGCGACACAAACAGGGGGCAGACTCAGGACCAGACCTGGAAGCTGCAGCAAACACCTGACCAGACGAAGGGACTCTACCAGACTCAGCACCGGGAGGAGAAGCAGTGGTCAGTGTGTACAGGCTCGACCCTGGCTGACGTGTAAACGTAGCTAGGTGGCGACCTGTGCTAGCCTCTGTGCAGTGTGTCACCCGCTGACGAGCAGGAGTGAACTGGTGGACACCCCCATCCTGTAGGTCAGCACCACTCACCAGGTTCGTAGAGAACGAGGGGAGGTAGAGACCAGTCAGGGTGCCAGAGGGAGCCGCCGGACACGGGAGGACTGTGGAGAAACGAGACAGGACAGGACCCCCAGAGGGGTCAGCCAGGGACACCGCAACCGGCCGACTAAGCGGCGTGAGAGTGGTGCGGTCCCGAAAGAAGAAGCGAGACGCCCCAGAGTCAAGGGTGAAGGTGAGGGAGGCCGAAGCCGACGTAGTACCTGAGAGCGCAGACTCACCAGTACCTGAGGACGCAGACACACTAGCACCTAGAGCAGCAGCGTCGCAAGCACCTAGGGCAGCAGCCGCACCAGTACCTAGAGCAGCAGACTCAATGCCCGGATCGGGCGGGAAACACCGGTAACAGTCACCCTCATCACTACCAGACACAGCATACATGGCAGCAAGAATAGCATCAAAGTCAAGATCAAAGATAGCTACACCAGCCCTAGACAGCTCTCCCCAGCGGGGGATCTCAGAGGCCTCCGGAAACTGCTGGCGCCAAGCGTCGGTCAAGCGGGCAAAGCAGCGGCGGGCGGTGTGGGTGCCCCCACACTGCTCACCCGCACGGTCGCCGGTGCGAAGGACGTAGGTGCAGGGACCGAACGCCCCACCACGCTGACGCTGGGAGTACCAGTCACGGAGCTGCTGAGGGGTGAGGACGTCGCGAGAGCGCTACTGCTGCTGCTGCTGCTGCTGGCGCTGACTACCTCCAGTGGTGCTCCGCTGGGACGAGCCACTCCGACCACCTCCACCACCGCCACCCCCGCCTCCGCCGCCACCGCCGCCACCGCCACCCTCGCCCCCGCCGCTCCCACCGCCACCACCACCACCACCACCTCCGCCTCCACCGCCGCCAGTAGTACCTCCCCTCCCGCCACCACCTCCACTGCCACCCCCACTCCCTCCGCCGCCTCCACCGCCTCCGCCACCGCCCCCGCTAGCTCCACCCGCTCCCTTGCCCCCCTTGCCCCTGCCAGGGCGGCGCCTACCGCTGGGGGCAGACGCCGCACCGACCGACTCCAAACCAACGAGGTCGGCCGCAGCAGCAGAGGCGACAGAGGGAAGTAGGGGGGAAGGAGAACACCCCTCAAAGATGGGGGTGCGAGGGTCACCACGAGAGGCCCCTACAGTGACGATACTCTTCTCAGCCGCTAGCAGGGACTTCTCAAGGAGGTCGACAGTGAGGGTGGTGGGACAGACAGAGAGAAACTGGTCCCTAACGGCACGAAGGGACTCAGGGAGACGGGTGACTAGAAAGTAGAGAGTGATGTACATGGGAGGAGGGTTTGCGGCGCGGAACTCTGCAGGAAGCGCAGCGCGGTAGCGAGTGTCACTAGCGCGGAGGTGGGTAAAGAGGTCAGCGACTGTGGGAAAGGCAGCGAGGTCAGGGAAGAGGAACGGTAGCATGAGGCGGCTCAGCGTAGCGGAGGAAGGGGAGGAGTAGCGCGCAACTACAGGGTCGTACAAGGCCTGAGCGGTCTTGCACTGACTAAAGTGTGCACGCTCGGAGGAAGGGAGGTGGCGACGCACAGCAAGACGTGCAGCAGCATCGCGCGTGGCCCACTTGGAGCGAACAGAGGGGTCAGCATCAGCAGGAGGGGCAGGGACAGCGCCAGAGACAAAGTCAAAGAGAGAAACCTCATCGATCGCATCGCACAGTAAGTACACCTGCAGGTCCTCGACCCGGACTGCAAAGTCAATGGCGCGACCCTCAGCGTCAAAAGACAGGACACTGGGGGTGGCCATTATAGCAGCTGACAGTCTCACCGGGCGGGAAGAGTCGGGTAGCTCAGGAGTACAGCCACACAGCAGCACAGCAGCTACGGCGGCCCAGGAGCAGCAGCAGCCCCACAGGAACAGGAGGCCGACACCTCAGGCTGCTCGGGCGGCTCGGGCGGCTCGGGCGACTCGGGCGGCTCGGGCGGCTCGGGCGGCTCGGGCGGCTCGGGCGGCTCGGGCGGCTCGCGCGGCGCGGGCGTCTTGCGGGCGACAGCACGGGCGGCTGGGGCGGCTCGCGGGTGGCTCACGGGCGGCTGGGGCGGCTCGCGGGCGGCGCACGGGCGGCTTACGGGCGGCTGGGGCGGCTGCACGGGCGGCTCGAGGGCGGCGTCGGCTGCTCACGGGCGGCGTCGGCGGCGACGGCGGCGTCAGCGGCTCACGGGCGGCGTCGGCGGCGTCGGCGGCTCAAGGGTGACGTCGGCGGCGTCGGAGGTGCACGGGCGGCGTCGGCGGCGTCGGCGTCGTGGGCGGCTCACGGGCGGCGGCTCACGGGCGGCGGCTCACGGGCGGCGGCGTCACGGGCGGCGGCGCACCAGCGGCGGTTGACGGGCGGCTGCACTGACGGGCGGCGCTCACGGGCGGTGCTCACGGGCGGCGCTCACGGGCGGCGCTCACGGGCGGCGGCGCACGGGCGGCAGCGCACGGACAGGCCTCGGGCGGCGAACGGGCGCTAGGGCGGGCGCCGGGCGCTAGGGCGCTAGGGCAGGCGCTAGGGCGGGCGCTAAGGCGGCCGCTAGGGCGGGCGCTAGGGCGCTAGGGCGGGCGCTAGGGTAGGCGCTAGGGCGCAAGGCGCTAGGGCAGGAAAAAAAAATTCTAAGTGGTGGGCCCTAAGCACAGTTCCCACAGGGGAACCTGCTCTGATTCCATGAGAAGAAGCGAACGAGAATGAATGAACTATGAATGAAGTGAGTACAAATATGAAACCCTAATTGGGTTGTACCCCCTATGGGATACCCCACTATAGCCTACACAAATAAGTAAGCTATAATGTTCTGACAGGGATGTGTCGGTGCGCAGAAACAGCGACGGGTCAGCAGTAGAAGGCGCGAACCCAAGAGCCGCAAATGTAGTCCTGAGTGTGTCGTGCCACTCACGTGGCGCCTGGCGGAGACCGTAGACCGGCCGCCGGAGGCTCCACTGGGTACTAGGAGGAAACGACCCAGTGAAGCCAGGAGGGCGGCGCAGCCAGATCTCCTCGTGCAGGCTGCCCTGCAAGAAAGTTGTGCTGAAGTCAAGAGAGTAAAGCTCGTAGTCACGCTGAGCGGCAACGTGCAGTAGCACCCAAAGAGTGGTCATCTTCGGGGTGGGGGAGAAGGTCTGGAAGAAGTCTACTCCCTCTCGCTGACTAAAGCCTCGAGCAACGTAACGAGCCTTGAAGACAGGCGGAGAACCTGGCAGCCGCTTCACCCTGAAAATCCACATGCCACTGACGATGTTTGCCCCTGGAGGGGGAACCTCGTCGACGTAAGTGCAAGTGGACTTCCAAGATGCCATCTCTGCGTCCATGGCTGACTGCCACTAAGAGGAGTACTCACCCGCGATCGCCTCAGCGTAAGAGCGCGGGGCCGGGATGTCTGGTGCATCCGTGTCTCCCTCACGTGCAATCAGCATGGACACGAGATGATGTACAGCAGCGGCAAAGCACTCAAACTCCTCTTGCCTGTCCTCAAGGACGTCCGTGCCTAGAACACACTCACCCCCAACGGACGGAGGACAGACAGACTCAGACTCAGCAACAACACTCGCGGCGTAGTCTAGACGACAGCGAGCAGCCAAGGCGACAAGCTCAGCAACTAAGGGAGACGCAGCAGCAGACTTAAAGGAAGGGTCAGTGACAGCCGTGGCCAGGAGACGCGTGAAAGTAGGACTAGCAGCACGAAGGGAGTCAGACTCTGGGTCAGCAAGGGCAGGAAGAGAGGACGTAAGAGGAGAAGGCAGAGGGACACGCTGTGGAGCAGTGGAAAGACGAAGTGTCATCTGGTGAGTGCCTGGGACAGCTGGAGGACGCTGACGCGGGACACGACGACCAGTGCGAGCAGCACGAACAGGTGACGGAGAAGAAGACTCAGGCAACACAGGACGAGACTCAGGCTCACGATTCTCCGTAAGACCTCCTATCCGACCAGTGTAGGGAGAAGGACCAGGGAGTGGCGAGGCAGGCTGTAACTGTAACATCGACTGGACAGGCGGAGGACACTCTAAGGAGGGAGCAGGACAAGGAGGAGGAGGCTGACCAAGAACATGCTGAAGGAGCGGAACGAAGTACAGCCGCGGCCGTGAAGCGCCCCTAGAACCAGCAGAGACAGCACCAGAACCCCCACCAGCAGCTCCAACTCCTGTAGCACTACCAGCAGCTCCAGTAGTGCCAACTCCAGTACCCCCACTAGCGCCAGCTCCAGCCGCACCGGCGGCTCCAGGACCTACAGGACCAACTCCAGGGTCAGCAGCTACACCAACTCCAGTAGGCCCGGCGTCCTCAGCTCCACCGGCAACTCCAGCAGCTCCAGCACCTGTAGCTTCAACTCCAGCACCAGCAGCACCTCCAGTAGCACCAGCTCCAGCAGCTCCAACTACAGCCGAACCCCCAGTCCCAGCAGCTCTAGTACCGCCTGTACGAGCACCTCCAGGACCAGAGGCTCCAGTACCTCCAGCCGCACCAGGGCCTCTAGCAGGCGGCACCCTAGTGCTAGGAGCGTCGCTTCGGAGGCGCCGAGCGTACCACTCACATAGTCGCTGTGGGGAGGGAGGCGACGGCTGCGACCCAAAACCCGCAGCACCCCCAGCCCCAACTCCGGCAGAACCCCCAGCTCTAGCAGCCCCATGCCGAAGGCTGTAACGCTGAGAGTACCACTCACGCAGCTGCTATAAAGAGGGAGCCTCACCACGCGCAGTACGGTGAGTCTCAGCTCCCCCAGGCTCAGCACCCCCAGGCTTAGCACCCCCAGGCTCAGCACCCCCAGGCTCAGCACCCCCAGGCTCAGCACCCCCAGGCTCAGCACCCCCAGGCTCAGCACCCCCAGTCTTAGCACCCCCAGTCTCAGCACCCCAGGCTCAGCACCCTTAGTCTCAGCACCCCCAGGCTCAGCACCCCCAGTCTCAGCACCCCCACACGCAGTACTCGTCGCAAGACCAGAGTCCACAGCTACCTCGACAGGCTCGACCGGGTCTACCTGGGAAACATCTGAGGGAGCAGCACCTTGGGGAGGGAGGGGGTCTACCGGTAGGACACTTGGGGTGAGGAAGAGTGGCGGGGGGGGGGGGGAGCGGGCCAGTGCGGTAGGGGAAGAGACGGTAAAAGGGTACCGACTCGTCAAAAGTGACGTCCCTAAGAGGGGAAGACACGGCGTGAGGTGGGGTGGTAAAACTGCCAGCCAGGCGTGTCAGGGACAAAGCCAAGGAAGACACAGTGAACGACACGGGAGGAGAGCTTGTCTGTGGACGTATCGCGGACTAAGGCTCGACATCCCCAGACTCGGAACACCGACGCATCGCCAACCTTCCCCGTCCGACGCAGTGTGGGGGAGGTCTCCGGAGCAAAGACACGGGGTCAGAGGTTGAGCTGATGCGCAGCGTACTGCACTGCAAATGGCCACACGAAATGGGGGGCAGCCGCATGGATCATGGAGGTACGAGCGACCTCAATGACTAAGCCAATGCGGCGCTCAGCAATCCCAATCTGCTGTGGAGAGGCCGGAAGTGTGAACGTCTAGCGGATGCCGTGCTCCGCTCAGTAGGCTGCAAAGAGGTCGGAGGAAAACTCACCACCCCTGTTAGAGTGCAGACGCAGGACAAGAAAGTCCGACTCGAACCGGTTGCGGTGTTGGAGACGAGCAGCGCATGGATCAAAACATCAGGAACCTCACCCTTGGTGCGCAAGGGGAAGACCGTGGTGTAGCGCGTGTAGTCGTCGACGACCAGCAGGAAGTACCGCTCGTGGCCCTGTCCACAGACGCGGGCCGGGCCCCACACGTCTAGGTGGAGAGTCTGCAGGGGAGCCTCTGTGGGAGGGAACGAGGAGGAGTGAGGAGTGGCGCGCTGCCGCCCCTCAACACAGGGAAGACAAGGAGGAGCAGGCGAGGGTGGGAGAGGAGGGAGAACCCTGGGAAGACGGGTGGGAGAGGAGGGAGAACCCTGGGAAGACCAGAGACAAGGTACCGGGAGTGCATGCCACAAAGGCGCTGCACTGAGGGGTGACCAAGGCGGTGGTGCCAGAGGACGGTCTGGTGCGACAGGGTGTGACACGAGCAGGGGGCCGACAGCAGACCTGACGCAGACGCAGACGCAGCTACCTGAGGGGACTCAGTGGTCATTATGTACAGGTCCGACCCCGGCTGCCGAGTAAAGGTAGCTAGGTGGCGACCCGTCCGAGCACACGTACAGTGGGTCACACGCTCATAGGCAGGGGTGAACTGGTGAACACCCCCATCCTGGAGAGCAGAGCCCGCCACCAAGTTCGTAGAGAACAAGGGGAGGTAAAGACCCGACAGGGTGCCGGTTGGAACCGCTGGACAAGGGAGGACAGTGGAGGAGGTCGCAAGGACTGGGCCCCCAGAGGGGTCAGTGAGGGAGACAGCAACAGGCCGAGCTAGCTGCTCAAGGACATTGCGGTCACGAAAGAAGCAGCGGGAAGCACCCGAGTCCAGTGTGAAGGTGTGTAGTGCCTCAGTAGACGCAGTACCAGCAGACGCACGAGCACCTGGAGCAGCAGACTCACTAGCACCTAGAGCAGCAGCCTCACCAGGACCTAGGGCAGCAGACGCACTAGCACCTAGAGCGGCAGTCTCACTGGTCCCAATACCCGGGTCGGGCGGTACACTCAGGTAGCAGTCACCCTCACCCATTATAGTCAATGCATACATAGCACCAAGGATAGCATCAAAATCAAGAGCAAAGATATCAATTCCCTTCTTAAGCAGATCAGTCCAGCAGGGCAGCTCAGAGGCGTCAGGGAACTGCTCGCGCAAGGC